TGTGTGTGTGTGTGTGTGTGTGTGTGTGTGTGTGTGTATCTTACAGCGTTGTTGAATAATTCGAGGGTGACGGCTTGAGCGGGGCTCCTGGTGTTGAGATACTGAGCGTAGATGGTGGCGTAGAAGTTCACCAACTCGTCTGACACCTGCAACACAGCACACACACATTAAAACCAGCTCTATTATATAAACACCTCTGTGTGTGTGTGTTTTACCCGGTCGCTCCACATGAAGGCCATCACACCGGCTGCGATTTCAATGATGATCAGAACGGTCAGCAGGCCAGAAAACTGAACCCCAGAAAAACAGAAATGTTTATAAACCTAGTTCATCTCATTTGGAAAAAGCTCTCTATTGTAATTTTGAAACAGAAGTGTTTCCTCAGATATGCACGAGGGAAAGAAGAGTTGCATTGTAGTGTTGAACTGGCCAGTGACATTAGAGGAGGTTTACGTTTTACAGGTTTAGGAACGAATGAGAGTTTTGTCCTTCTGTATTGTGAAGGTGTTTAACAGCTTTGTTTTGATTCTTCTGAAATGCGGTTGTTTCTGCAGCGATGCTCACCACGCCGAGAGCTGGTTTGCTGTTGTTGCAGGCGCCGCAGTCACCGATGATGGCCACCAGCAGCATCAGGACCCCCGTGACCACCAGCACCATCACTCCTGCAGACACACAGAGTCACGGCTAGATATCACGCATCTCAACATGAAGCGATGGTGTCTATTAGATGTCTTTAAGATGTTTATGGTTTCCCAGATAGCACACGTACATCTGCGAGACGTCTGTTAAAGATCTCTCGATCTGGAAAGCATCTGCGGTGTACAAACATCTGGCAGACGTCTGTTTTACATACATTCTAAACCATAAACATCCTGAAGACATCTGATAGGACACGTCCTGTAGACGTATAGCAGATGAGCAAACACTCTAAAAAATACGTCTTGCAGACGTCAAATAGACGTCTCTAAGATGTACGTGAAACTCCACAGACAGAAACAGCAGCAGAACACACCGATGTTGAACTGTGTGGTGCTCAGATCGATGTCGAAGAACCCTCGGGTCTCTGCGCCGAACCGGAGCCACATTCCCAGAGCCACCAGACCGAGCCCCACCAGCTGAAAAACATCCAGCGCAGCTCTAAGAAACACCAGCAGCCGTGCATTCACACTGGAATAAAACACTGGAAAGTTGGCAAGATATTCAGATTCGACTTTTCCGGAACCTCTGTATAAAATGCATTGATCTCAACGCACTGAGAGACAAGTCCCAAGGGACCGTCTGCAAAGTGCGAACAATGTTCCTAATAAACATTCAGTCCAGCACAGCTCTCAGAAACACCAGCACACTGAACACTGGAATAACTGTGCTGTTTAATGCATTTGAGACGTTGTGTTTTCCTCAGTGTCACAGGTATATTCTTCATCTGTAAATGTTAGAAAGTCATGCAAACATATCCATTTTGCTGTCAGGAGTGGGCGAGGCACGCGAGAGCAACGAGCGCAGCTGCACGCATGCACACTAAACAGACGGAGCGCAATAATTCTGAGTAAAATATACATTTTGATTAAATATTTGTTGTTGGACATTAAATGTGTCTTTTGTAGAATTTTAAACCTACATATAAGTGTATTTTTATGAAAGCAGTAACTGTAAAGGGACTATTGCAGGGGCGTAGATTACGCGGGGGACGTGTCCCCCCGACTTTTAATATCACGTAAATTCGTCACCCGCACTTTTTCGGGCAAGTGTTTTAAATAGATTTAAATGTAGATTTCAATTCAAAGAGACAGGATAGTCTGTGCATGATCTGATGTTTTATTCGGACCCAGATTAAGGCGAGATGAACATCGCGGAGCGCTAAACACTCCGTGCAGTGTATGTTTCATTCATACTCAAAGCCGGAGGGTGCTCTCGCGCAGAATGTCGTACGACTCTCGCGCAGAAAGTCGTACCAGGAGATCCCTAATATGGACAAAAGCCTCCAGCTATCGCTGTATGAAAACGGTTGTTTACTTTTCACAGAAAAACAGAAACGTTTGGAAACATGAAGACATTAAACATATGATTGCGACAATATTATTATTATGATGTTGAAAACAGCCGAGTAGAATTTGTTCAGGTATCTTTGATGAATAGAAAGTCCAGAAGAACCGCATTTATCTGAAATAGAAATCTTTTGTAACATTATAAATGTCTTTATCATCACTTTTGATCAATTTAAAGCATCCTTGCTAAATAAAAGTGTTCATTTCTATCATTTCTTTTCCAAAAAATAATAATTATATTGACTCTAAGCTTTTGAATGGTATAGTTTATAATGTTACAAAAGCTTTTTATTTCACATAAATGCTGATCTTTGGATCTTTCTATTCATCAAATGATCCTGAAAAAATGTACTCAACTGTTTTAAATATTGATAATAATAATAATAATTAAAAAAAGGTTTATTGAGCGGTAAATCAGCATATTATAAGGATTTCTGAAGGATGTGACACTGAAGACTGGCGTAATGATGCTGAAAATACAGCTTTGATCACAGCAATCATTTTAAAATATATTGAAAGCAGTTATTTTAAATAGTAAAAATATTTTTAAGCCTGGCTTATTTGGTTAACCTGTCTTATGAAACAGGCCTCGAGGCATTAAAAGTGATCATATTTTCTGCATTGCATCGTATTGCATTGTGTTGAATCGAGGGGTGAATCGTATCGCATCGCATCGGTAGCTGCTTCATATGTATCTGTAATGTATCATGTTGTTGCTGGCTATGCATCGAGATGCGTATCGTATCGGCCTCAGTCATGAGATGCACATCCCTACAGCACACTGAACACTGAACACTGGAATAACTGCTGTGACAATCAGCACAGCTCTCAGAAACACCAGCACGCTGAACACTGAGAGTGTTTGCTCATCTGCATTACGTCTATGAGTATTGTATATAGAGGAGTAAATATTAATACTCACAGCGAAGAGAATGTTAAACAGGATCAGGAAACATTTACACATCTGCGCGCACCCGTCCATGGCGAACCGATTGATTTCTCTGCAACAAAACAGCATAGCAATCTCTTAATGGACTAATACAAACCATCATTCCTTTTAACAAAAATAATGACCCGGCTTGTATTATGTTTAAATCAGTTAGAGCACAGAATTTGAGAGGCGTGACAATGTAACGCATAGCACTGAACGGCCACAGTTGGTGTGATAAAGATAAATAAACTTGCCTTGCTCAGTAATTAGGAGTTGAGGAGCGCTGGCGTGCTGCTTCTCTCTCTCTCTCTCTTGCTGTGCGTGTGTGTGTGTGTGTGTGTGTGTGTGTGTGTGCTCGCGAGGCACAAGCTCCTTGGTGCGCCACTCCAGTGACGTCAGCGGAGCCAGAGAGTTCCAGTAGCGCAGAAACGAAACCATCGCCCACAGGTTTCCTCTGAAACCATCCAGTCTCATTCGAGGAATCTCCACAGACTCTCGTCCTTTGGCAGCCATGTTTGTTTCTGTCTGTCCTTCTTTTTGTAGTGCAGTGTGTGGTAAAGTATGCAAAAACATATGGTAATAAAGGAAAGAAAGCATATTTGACAAACCTCCACCCTTCCCACACCCAAAAAATATCAAAAATAAAACAACAGAATAAGTACTGAAAATAAGAACAGAAATAATAGCAGCAGATGAAACCGTAAAAACCATTGTGAGTGTGGAATCCAGTTCAGGTTTCGCGTGATTGGTCCCTGCAGATGATAGTTTCAGATGTAAGAATATCTCCAATAATGAATGAAGCCAATTCATGAGGGGGTTTCCGTTTCTTTGCCACAGTCACAGCCTAACTTTCCCGTCTTCTGGCTTACATATGCATGTGATTACATGTGCTCTGTGAATAACTTTACAGTGGGTGTGCATGGAATGTATTTAGCCACATCTGTGATTGGGACCACGCTCCAGCTTCAGGGACATTATCTGCAGTCAGTTCTGAAAAGCAAAGGTAAAAATAAGAAGCCAGGTCAGTCTATTTCTGTTACACGGTGTAATGCCATACATGGCCTGTATCCTGTGGTGGCGTTGTTGTGTTGTTTCACGCGCAGTCACGTGCAGTGAATAAAGTCGCAGATTGATTCAGCTCATGCTTGTTTATTGCATCTCACACAAACATGGTGTCAGAAGTGGCCACTAAATCCTGAACATGGCCTTGAACAGCATTCCCGCTCCCGAGGGCATGCCGATGTCTGGGGATGTATCCAAAAATTGGGATAATTTCAGAGCGGAATTCGAGGACTATGAACTAGCTACTGGGTTAGTTGAGAAGCCCAAAAAGGTGAGAGCGGCAGCAATGTGGCGCAACGAATGTCGACAATGCGCACCACGGAACGTTCCAGTGGCCTTGAAAGCCAGAGTAAAAGAGCAGCTCGATAAGTACATGAGAGATGGGCACACATCACATCTGTCACTGAACCTACCCCATGGATCAGCAACATGGTAAGGATATGTATAGACCCAAAACACCTGAATCAAGCACTACAAAGATCGCATTACCACATGCCAACACTGGAGGACATTCTGTATAAACTACCCAAAGCACGTCTGTTCACACTGGCGGACGTTCGTGATGCTTTTTTACACTGCAGACTGGACAATGAGAGCAGTTTAATGACAACTTTCTGGACACCACGGGGGCGGATGAGATGGTGTAAACTGCCTTTCGGCGTTCCGGTGGCACCTGAAATCTATCAACGCAAGCAACACGAGCTGTTAATGGGACTCAGAGGCATAGAGCCCATCGCGGATGACATACTGGTCGTTGGCTGCGGTGACTCGGACGCAGAAGCCGAGTTAGATCACGACAAAAATCTCCGTGCACTAATGGAACGCTGCAGAGCCGTGAAACTCCGACTGAGCGAGAAAAAGTTGCAATTCAAACTGAAAGCGTATTAAGCACATATTATCAGCAGAAGGCTTACGGATCGACCCAGAAAAAACAAAAGCTGTTCTGGCAATGCCGACACCACAGGGTGTGAAGGCTGTTAATGAGACAAAAGCTGACGACGCTTTGCAGGTGCTGGCAAAGATCGTGCTAACTAGATGTGTCGCTCTCGGTGCGCGAGTACTGGCCCTTCAGAGATGAACTGAACATTCAGAATGGTGTGCTATTCAGAGGTCAAAGCGTTATTATACCGAAAGCACTGAGAGCAGAAATGCTGACTCGCATTCATGCCACTCATATTGGAGGAGAGGCCTGTTACAGACAGGCAAAGGAAACGCTGTTCTGGCCGAGATAAAAGGTTATGTGGCCAACTGCTCTGCATGTAACGAGTACGCGCACAAGCAGCAAAGGGAAACGATGATGTCCCATGAGATCCCTGTCCGCCCCTGGCAAATTGTGAGTATGGACCTGTATGCGTACGGTGGCAGGGAATTTCTTATAATAGTGGACCACTACTCGGATTACTGGGAAATTGATCAGCTGCCAGATCTGACAGCAGACACAGTCATTACACGCTGTAAAGTTCAGCTTGCACGTTACGGGAAGCCAGATCAGGTTATCACTGACAACGGGCCGCAATCCACTTGTGAACTGTTCAGAAACTTCGCGGGACAGTGGGGGTTTGTTCATGTCACATCTTCACCCCAGCACCCCCAATCTAACGGAAAGGCTGAATCGGCAGTGAAGATGGTGAAATCGCTATGTGAGAGAGCAAAACTCTACGGGTCTGATCCATGGCTAGCAATCCTCCACTGGCGAAACACGCCCACAGAAGGATTAGACAGCAGTCCCGCACAGCGACTCATGTCCCGTAGACTTAGGACGGGACTTCCCATGGCAAACAGTTTGCTTTTCCCCAAGGTGGTAGAAGGAGTTTCGGAGAAATTGAGGTGGAAACGGCGTACAACAAAATTCCATTATGACGCGAGAGCCAAAGACCTCCCAGAGCTAAATGTCGGCGAACGCATCAGAATGAAACCCCTGCCTGGAGACTGCACGGGTCGGTGGCGGGGAGGCCAGTGTTTAGGAAAGATGAATCCGCGGTCTTATGTTGTGAATGTGGATGGCACATTATACAGGCGCAACCGTGTGGATTTGCGGAGGGCTGAGCGTTCCGACCAGTTTAATCACCAAGAGGCAGGGATAAAGGAGAGCAGGCAGGGCTCAGTGGCTAGCTACAGTGAAACGGCAATCAGAGAGGATGACACATCGGACATCACAGAGTGTGAGCCAGGGCAAATTCAGGAACGAAGACTGACCGTGGCTAACAAACCATCACCACTGGGAACCCCGATCATTACTCGCAGCGGCCGTCAGTCACGGCCACCACAGAGACTTGATTTGTGAGTCCTTCTTAGTGTCTTAGACAGACTAGGGCATCAGTAAAGCAGTTCAGTTAGTAGTATTACAAAGCATAAATTTAGCTAGTAATTTTGAGTTCATGTTGGGAGTTGGGGTTGTTAATGGAGGGAGGGGGTTCTTAGTGGAGTGTGGCAATTCTTTAAAGAAAGGGAGATGTTACACAGTGTAATGCCATATATGGCCTGTATCCTGTGGTGGCGTTGTTGTGTTGGTTCACACGCAGTTTGCGCTGAGGCCTGTGAATAAAGTCACAGATTGATTCAGCTCATGCTTGTTTATTGCATCTAACACAAACAACTTCCTTCTGTGATCTACTTATCAGAAAGAGCTTTATTGACAGGTCTGTTTGCACATACAAGGAGCTGCATGCTTTGTAATATGCACGAGATATTCTGCTCTTCTGTGAAGCAGATCAGTGAGTCAGCCCTTACTTCCACATTTAGCTTGTTTTGTTGTGTAACACTGGACGATTTGTGACCTCATACTCTTTCTAATTCCACACTTCTTTCTAATACTGTTACTTGGTCAAGATAATTATTTTTAAGTCTAGCAGAAAAGGAAATTTTCCCTGAAAAGCCTTGATAGATGCCCATAACATATCATAGTTGGAGTCTAAATTGAGATGTCTTCGTTTTGTAACTCTGCCATCATCATCATCATCATATGTGTGTTATGTATAGATTATTTCTTTCATATTTTCTTAGGGTGACATTTTTACCAACTGTCCAGAGACTGCAGATGCAAAATAGCCTTCTGGACATTTATGAGTTATTGACGTGCATTGTCGCTGTCAAATAAACAAATAAAATAAAAAATAAATAAAAGTAGAATGCATGGCTAACATATATCATCGTCGAGCGTTTTAATGCATCTACAAGGATTTTTTTACTGGTGGCCATTCTTGAGGCAGAGATGTGCAGTTGTCAAAAAGGCTGCTATTTTTTCTCAGTGTGAAAAATAACTTGAAAAATAAGTTGGTTTTAGTCAGGAGCCCAGTGTTGTGTGTCTTTCTCCATGTCAGGACTGTGATCACTGAGACTGGATTCAGTTTAGAAATGTTCTAGATCATGTGTTCTGTTCAGGGAGCGCAGACATGCCAGTTTCCTCTGGCTTTTACTTTCATTTCCCCAAAGGTAGCTTTGGTAATGTGGTTTACTCTGAAATAGGTTTGTTCAGAAGGACTGAAACTGATGTTTGTGCGCTTCAGAGCTCGGTGGATCATGATATGTAGAGCGTGACTATAATGTGATTAACAGAGATCTGCCTAATTCTCGAATGTGTTCATCTCTAAACTCGTTTAGGTTCCTGTCCCGTCTGTCTGATGTCATGGAGCCCACAGATAACATCCAGTGATTTCTGTGATTCGGTGAGTTCTGGCTTTTACCTCCTACACCACTTTCAGAGTTTAAATATTCAGTCGATAAAACGTTTTGCTTTTTATTTTGGGTGTTTTTGGATGTTTTTCAGTTGTGTGGTGCGATCAGATTTGCAGTAATTAAGTAAAAATCTGACTCCTCTAGAGAGTAACCTTCACACGAATGCGTCTGTGTTCCACTCCACTTTTAGACACGCTCTAGTGAACTTCCCGAAGCACTTGCCCTTCGCTGCTGTTCCACTTCATGAAGTTTACATGGACAGACCCTCAACCCCTTGATTTATCCCCACCCCAAACAACTCTATAGTATATAAATTATTTTTTAAAAACATTTATAACAGCCCAAGCATACCTAAACTGCCAGGCCAAAGTTTTTGCCTGCATTTATTTGATCCAAAATACAGCAAAAGCAGTAATATTGTGAAATATTTTTGCTGTTTAAAATAATTGTTTTCTATTTTAATATACCGGTACTTTAATCTGTAATTTATTCCTGTGATTTCAAAGCTGCATTACTCCAGTCACATGATGCTTTAGAAATCATTTTGATATTCTGATTTGCTGTTTCCTTTGCTCTAATACACCTCTAATACAGCTCTACTACACCTCTAATACACCTCTAATAC